AAAAAAAAAAAAAAAGCCAGAAGGGAAGCACTAGTCTTGGGCAGGACAGTGCTCAGGCCAGGCCCTGAGTTCAAGCCCCACAACTGACAAAAAAAAAAAAAAAAGCCAGAAGGGAAGCACTAGTCTTGGGCAGGACAGTGCTCAGGCCATGAGTTCAAGCCCCAGGACAGGCACAAAAAAAGACAGGAAGAATGAAGAAGGGAGTAGGGACTTGATAAAGAGTAGAAATTTTTCTTGGGCTGGAATTTCCAGTTTTACAGAATTTGGTCCTAACATTCCAGGCGATATCTCACTACATCCTTCCAGGGGCACAGTGCTTGCTTGAGCTAGCCAGACTTCATTACTGGGTGCCCCAAACAGCTGGCTCCACATCATCATTCAGTGTTTTCTTATCCTATTTTTCCAGTTCTCTAAGGCTGCTGTTTCCTTATAGGATCATCTTCCAGTCTCCTTAATCCCAGTTTCCTAAAGAAACTGTCTGCATTATCTTTATCTGTTCTTTACCCATTCCTGCATCACATCTATCAAACTGAAGGCAAAGACTGCTTGACCTTTCAATGTTTTTTGTTTTTGCTTTTGTTTATGGATGCTGGGGATGCACGCCAGGAATTGCACATGCGATGCAACTAATCCTTCTGCTTCTAAGCCATATTTCCAGCCCTTTCTTGAACTTCCTGATTTTTCCAAACACCTCATATAGCAGGACACTGATTTTTGTATTAAGATTCCTGAAGTCATCAGGAAATGGTTTATGGGCAAGGAGAATTGGAAATGGGTTCTGAAACATTTCATTGAGCAAAGAGGAGCAGGGCTTCCAGGTTAAAAGAGAAAAACATGTATTTGTGCACTAAGAACATCAGAATGACCAAAGCAGGGAGACGTATCAGAGAGCAATATTGAAAAAGGCAGGAAATAATGAGGGTCAGATTACAGCGGGAGTAGTTTGTTTGGCAGGAGTAGAATGACTTGATTCAGAACTGCTCTCTTGGGAACAGAATAGATCAAGGAAAGAAGAGAAAAGGAGAGGCCTCAGGCATTACCAAAAGGATGCTGCTGCAGTAATTGAAGCAAGCCATGTGGAGACAAGGACCTTCACTTAGATGATGATGACCCTAAGTACTATTTTCTTTTTTCCTCAGGAGGTGGGGACTGATACAATCTACATTATTCAATCATGAGAACTATAAAGATGAACAGAGGATAAGCGTGGAAGAATTTACACACACACACACACACCTCCCACATTGAGGTTTGAATTCATGGCCTCCAATTGCTAAGCAGGATTTCTACCAGTGGAGCCATACCACTAGCCAAGATTGGAAGAAATATAAACAAAATCTAAACACTGCTACAAAGGCAAAACTAGCAGGAATCGTGCAAGGTCAACTGTAGTCTCTACAGATGCTCTCTCCTTCCGGTTACCTTCTCTCCTATTTCCAAGTATCTCTAAATAAAGCCTATTAACCTTAGGTCATGTAAGTTACTCCAACATGCCCATGAACATTCACAAACCAAACCAATTCCACCATGGTTACATCCAATATGGTTATATACATGGTTTGATTAGAATCAGTTATCCTTTTAAGATATTGTGGCAGCAGAACCTGCTCTGCTAGGATAGTTGGCATATAATGTGTGTGAGTGTGTGTGTGTGTGTGTGTGCGTGTGCACGCGTGCTCGTGCACATGCACGAGCGCAAGCACAGAATGGGGGCTGGAAATGAAAGCCTAGATGCTGTCCCTGAGCTCTTCCACTCAAAGCTGGCACACTCTGAGCCACAGCTCCACTTCCAGCTTTTTGGTAGCAATTGGAGGCAAGAGTCTTGCAGACTTTCCTGCCCTGGGTGGCTTCGAACCTCCATCCTCAGATCTCGGCCACCTGAGATTACAGGTGGGAGCCACCAGCACCCCGCCCGGTGCATGTAATGTTAATTTTCTCCCCTTTGGGGGATTTTTTTTTTAAGATTAGACAATTGTGGCCAACAGCTGTCACCTCTACTCGGCGAGATCCCAGTACAAATCAGTACCTAGGCAACTTAACCAATCTATCCGGCCTAATTTCCATCACCGCTTAACGTGGCTTCCAGGGGAAAGGGGGAGGTTGACTTATTAACCCCTCACTTAAGGGTTATTAAGTTCACCAATCAACCTTTCCGAACCTCATGAACTCCTGCCAACAGGCTAGCCCCTATTCCCTCGTAGCAGTGTGAGTTAGCCATTGCAGTAAGCCACCACAATAGCTCTACCTTCATCCTTCTCCTCCTTAAGACGTGTCAAGTGTGTATCTGCGGGGAGGTGGGGGGCCCGAACATCAAACCATCTAAAGCTTCGCCAGAAAAAAAAAAAGGGTCCGTTCTCTGCCGTCCCTCCCTCTCTCTGGAAAACTGCTTCTCCTTCAAACATTCTGCCTGGGCAAAGCAGTCCCTTCTCGAACACACGGTCACAATCCAGCTGATTCCGCAGCCGCCAGGCGCGCGTGGGTCAGGGGCAGCGCCGCCGCGCCCGGGCCGGCGCTCATCCTTCCCTCAGGGGACGGGGGTGCCGGGGTCCCGCAGCCCCCC